GCCCTCTTTCCAAAGCTTACAGCACTACCTTGGCTAGAAATTTTAACTATTGTGCAATTCTGAGACATGTTCTTTTGTGCATAACTCTGGATCTGTGTCTTTTCCTATAATCCTAATTTATAATAGTTTAAAAAAATAATGCCCTTGCTTTGATCAAGCTTTTTATCTATAGTTGTCTATACTGTTTATGTTCTCATATGTTGGATTCCTCCCTCCTAGCCAGGCTCACCCTCATCATTACATATCTGGATTTGTTGAGAACCCTAGTTTTCTGTCTATTTTATTTATTTTATTTTTCACATTTCTGAACTATTTTTTTATTTATTTAAACAATTTATATAGCTACCATCTTGTAGGATAAAACTCTGGGCAGATAACAGTGATAAAAGCAGAAACAATAAAACAATACAACACACTTCAGATACTAAATATTGCACTTCTGTACAATTGTGTATTCTAATGTCTTAATTCTTAGCAAAGGAACTCATACTAATGACGAGGTATTAGTCATGTGAATGGTTACAGTTTTCTAAACTTGAGCGTACTAATATTTTCATCTTTTTTTCAAACATGATATCTATACCCACCATTTACTACAAAAGTACTTTTATTTCTAATTCTGCTTCTCTACTAAAAATGGTTATTTAGTTTATATTTCAGCTATCCTACAGTACACGAAAACTGATTTGTACTGAATTAGCCTATTAAATCATTTTGCTTAGGATGTTTGGAATCTTCTAAATCCAAGGCATATACTCTTCTACTGAGCAATCAAACTTTCCCATTGTACGTACCTTGGCAAAAATTACTGCAACAAATATTGGCATCAACATATGAATTAATGTTCAACTATTTCCTAATTCTTCTATAATACAACTCAAATTAAATAATACATGACAAAAATAAAAAAAATAGTATGTGTATTTTTAATGGAAAGAAATAGTGGTGGTGGTAGCTAAATAGCCATGATAGTATCAAGATTCAAAAAAGTTCAATATTCTGAACTATTTAGCATTTCCTTGTTGTTGTCTTATAAGTGCTAGTAATATAATAGAGAGTTATACAATAGCTGGGCCACCCTTAAAACTAATTATTGTTTAAATATTAAGGAAATGATCTAAAATATATTTCTTTCTAACAAAAAGGGGTACAAGCATTCTTTCAGCTGTTTGAAAATAAAGTTCATACATCTCTCTGCTTATTAAGCCAGTAATTAAATTGAACTAGTTCAATGTCAGCATTGAGCTTATAGGAATTAAATCAAAATTAGAAACTATTTGTTTCTAGAAATGAATTAGTTTTGTCATCCAGAACAAATTAAGTCTCTAAAATGGAACACAGCAATTTATATACATCAACGGCTTATATACTGTAGATATAAAAAAAAAATCCACCAAGATTAAAGTATACTTTATATCTGACACAAAACTAATCAATTCTAGGAGCTTTCAAAATAGATGACAGGTAGTGTTCAATTATTCAGTTAAAGGGCTTATTGATGTCAATAAATACAGGAAGTGAATCCTCTTAGTGGGTTAATGTAAAACAAAAAGCACTGGTCCATTCAGAAATTGAGAACCAGATGTTCTCACATTTTAGTGTTGTACTAAGTATCATTAAGAGCATGTAAAAGATTCCTCATTGCTTATATTCATATGTATCTCTTCCTGGAGAATTGTTCTTTAAAAAAACTCTTGTAATAAAAAGGGTAAGCCCTAATCATGCCCAACAGTGGAGGAAGTGGGTTTATATAGCAAGTTTAATTAAAGTTAAATTAATAATTAACCTTAGATACTGTAATACAGTAAATGTTACAATCTTATAGTTTTGAGTTCCAAAATACATAGTTTCATGTTCCATTATTTTACTTTCTATACACCTTAATAAGCATGGCCTATTTGTAAATTATAGCTGTTAATCTGCAGCTACGTTTTGTAAACCCATGCGTTATTTCTTATGCTGGTCAGTGATGAAAAAGATGCGGATTGAATTTACAAAACAAAGACAAAGTCAGAAGTACTCCATTAGTCAGTACCGGTAATTCCAAACTCATGCCTCTTTCCAGGTACACTTTTTAAGCTTATTCTCTCTCTCTCTCTCTCTCTCTCTCTCTCTCTCTCTCTCTCTCTCTCTCTCTCTCTCTCTCTCAATCTCTCTCTCAATCTCTCTCTCTCTCTCTCTCTCTCTCTCTCTCCTCTCCCTCTCCCTCTCTTTGCTAAGAATACCTAGGAAGTTTATGTGGAACTCAAAACTTTTACCTAAACTTTGAGGTTAGGAGTACCCTAACTTCTCACAACAGGAGCTATATAAGAACTCTATTTAGACTGCAATAACCCTTAACAGCGGGAAAAGGAAACAGAACATCCATACAATATCTTCCAACAAAATGGATATCCACGCAATTTCATCAAAAACTGCTTGACCACTCAACCCAATATAGCAAAACCAACACAAGCCCTAAAAAGGATAACACTCTCATACATCAAAAACATCTGAGAAACCACCAACCGACAACCACATAGAATCAACACAGCACACAAACCAACTAAAGCACTCCAAAACATCCTGAGTAAACCAAAAAACCCAGCTGATCCAGAAGAAAAAACAGGAGTCATCTACAACATTACAGTGTAAAGACTGCAATAGCCACTATGTAGGACAAAAAGGAGACTAGCAGAGCACATCCATGAACACCAATTAGATGTCAGAAGACATGATGAAAACTCTTTAATTTTACAACATGGATTTAACCATAATTTCAACTGGGAAATGGTGACCATCCTAGACCATGCCAAGTTCAAAAACACTAGAAAATTCCTGGAAGCCTGGCACTTTGACAAATGGCCATCAACAGACACTTAGACATAAACAACATCTATATACTGTGCAAAAGAGACAATTAACAAGCCAAAAAGAGAGCAAAAAGACCAAAACAACTCCCCATTGGCAATCAATACACAGATGAGCACAGTTTAACACCAAGGTTAACATGAGACCAACAACCAAGAAGTAAACAATACCCTAATCTAGGAAATGTCAAACAAGCTAACAGTAAGCAGCCCAACAAAAAAAAATCATCAAAACCACTCCCACCAACCCTGACAGGACAAGTCACTGGAATACAAATTGAGGGCAGACTCCACTCCTTACTAGCACTAATGTTACCTAGTTTGGGTAATGTCTACAAAAAATAATAACCAAACTCAGAGAGCACCAAGGACCCATTACTCAAAGGTTTTGTTGGAAAATCAAGTTCTGATTGAGCCTGGTGCTTTGTTTTGCAGCATGCTAATTTTCCATCCATTTTCTAATCTAGAAAATAAAATTAGGCAAGAAGGTTACTGAACACTAAAACTAGTGGGATGGAATCTGTCTAAGCTTCCAAAAGTCACACTGGGGATTCAGAGCTTTCTTTTCCTTTCTTGATTTATATGTTTGTAATGGAAGGATTTTTTTTTTTAAGTCCAGAAAGGAATGGAGAGGTAACAAGCATTTATCTTCCTTCCCTTCCACCTCATTACCCTGTTGCACTGGATTTCTTGGAACCTCCAGTATTACAGCACATCAAGAAGGTACATTGTATTCCTCAGTTACTAAAAGTAACATTGATTCCAAATTCTTCATTTCAACTAAATCTAGCTTTGAATTCATCCCACATCTCTCCTAATAGTCCATCTGGCTGTGCTATTAATGGAATCTAATCCACCCCTACCCCCACCCCCCATTAGTCAGGATGACAGTCTGAACTGTCACCTTCAGGATATGAACACTTCCTTCCGACAGCTTTGAATATAAAAGTGTCTTCTGACTTTTCTTCACTTCTCATTTCAGATAAATACAATTTATTTATTTTTGAAAGAGCTGCCTGGGATGTGTTGATTAGTCCCATTGTCTTAAATTGACAAGTAGGCAATTTCTTCACAAAATCTGCAATTTCTTTTCTAATGCATAGTACTTGTGGACTTAGTTCTCCATTTTTCCTTTTCTGATCAGCAGGGTCTGGAGCTATTCCATATGTTGACAATTCCTGTCCTAAAATAGTGTCTGCTCTGATTTTGCAGAAGCAGTATCTTTCATTCACATTCTGTTCTCCTCAATTCACCTTTAACCAATACAATACTATTTTAACTTTCCCCTCTTCTTATAAGTTACACAGACTAGCAAAATCCTTAATTCAAACTGAATTTATACCATATCTTTTGGCTTTACCATCTCCAAATCATCCAGCTACCATTGAATTCATGCAACTTCTGTTTCTGCAATTGTAGATCATTATGAATGTTATCAAAAAAGAAATACTCTCCTAGTTTGGATAATATTTTGGTTCTCCCTTCTTTGTAATTCAATGCTCTCAATGTACATCAGTCATCACTGAGTGAATTTCCTTCATCCTCACTGTTACCACTCCCAAAGTCTCATAAGAGATATTTCTCACCAAAAATGTCCATGTCCTGTAAAAGCTTTTAGGAGAGAAATTGTTTTCTCTTTGTTCACTGTTGCCACTGAACTACCCCACTTTATTCCTTAAGTTTTGTTCCAAGGTCTACCATATCAGTCTCATAAAAATGAACTTATCCTGGATGATTAGATAATAATTCTCACTCCTCCTGCTACTTCAGCCAGTTTGACAGGGGATGCACTCCTTTTCCCATCCTCCTGTTAATTAACCCAGCAATTCTTCCTTCTCACCTCCCCCAAGCACTATCAGCTAGGTCCATCCTTATATACATCTCTGTCTCAGGTTTCCACGAACTACCCAACCCGATAATCTCAAACTTCTGTTAGCAGAGTAGGCGCTCCCTCTTTCTCTCGCACGACAAACAGGCTTTTTATTCGTATCCATGCCTACTCAGAAACAAGTCGCATTGAGTTCAACCGGGTTCGACCAGAGAGGAAGCCCACCCCCCCGCCCCCCATTCACAAACCAAACCAAGCCACGATCCGGCAAAATTCCCAATCCGGTCCCCTTACCCTCCCCCACACCTCCTCCTCCTCCTCACCCCACTCGAGGAAGTCGGAGACGAGCCTGTCCCTGCGAAGCGGCGAGTCGCGGCTGCACTCGGTGTAGAGCCCGACCAGGAGATCCAGCAGCCCCTCGACGCTCAGGACGTTTTCGTTGCGCCGGGGCCCATCCAAGAGCAGCTGCTCCAGCTTCTTCAGCCGCACCTTGGCCGACATGGTGGCGGCGGGTGAGGCAAGCGAGCTGAGCGACTGGTCGGTCAAGGCAGGAGGGAGAGGCCGAGCGAGGCGGAGAGGGAAGGCGAAGAAGAGGAGGAGGAGGAGGAGGAAAGAGCCGCCGCCTCAGGCTCCGGGCAGCGGCGGCAGAGACATCAGCCTATCCAGGCGTTCCCCTCTCAACACCTTCCGACGGGCCCTGGGCCCGGCAAGGCTAGGGGCTGCTTCGCCTCCCCGCTACGCCCACATTTTGCGAGGCCTTTCCGAAAAGCAGCTCTTCCAGGCTCCGCTCCAGGCCCGGCTGGTCCATCGGCTGATCCCTCCCCTTCGGACCCGCCCTCTCACTTCGCCTGGCAACGGCTGAGGAGGAGGAAGAGGAAGATGAAGTCCTGGCTTTCAGTTGCGACGGTCGCCACTGCGAAGGTGGTGCGGCAAAATCATCCCGGTGGTCAAAGCTACACCCAGCCCCCCCCTCCCCAAAGCAGGCCGCCTCTCTCAACTCGGCCCCAATTCTCATCCGTCCCCGCCCCCTCGCCCCCCCTCCGGTGCTTGGGAGCAGGATGGAAGGGACTGGGCGAGGGCACTGGAAAAGTGGCTTGAGAAGAAGCCGGAAGGACTTGGTCCTCGCTTCTTGCCGTAGTTCCTAGGAAAACGCTCCCGCTGGCCGTGACCATCCGGGCAACAGGAAGATCAGGGAGGGATGAAAGCCGCGATGGAACGTAGGGAAGAAACCTTTCGGCAGATTCGCTAGTTGCGCAACCTGGAAGCCCTCGGGAAAAACAAACCAGCCGCTTTCTCGTCACGTATCCAATCCTTCCCTTTGCCAAGTGGATTGAAACAAGCAAGCCACCGGAATTCCCGTCAGCATATTCGTGGCTCCCACGCCCCAAATGCTTTAGATTTGTTATAACTTCCTACTCGTTCCTGATAAGTGCATCCCGTTTATAAGGACTGGGCGAAATCCAAGCGATTGGGTAAATTTAGCAAATATCGTTTAGATGTTCGTGGGTCAGTGCGTTGTGCGAAAAGGATCTGATCTTTTATAGCAAAATAATAACACCGAGCTTATCTATTTCCATACCCCTGACCACCTCCACTCCGCAGCTTTCTATTCAGCAGCTAAAAGGCTGAGATTTTAACGAACTATCAAATCCGCCAAAATACGACTAAATGGCATCAAAGTGTTCATTTTCTGATTTTGTTGTTGTTAGCTAATTCTGATTTTTGAAGCCCGAATCTCATAGCTCTGATTAAACTGAGAAAGATTTTCAAAATACATTTTGGGAAACAGAATAACAGATTTAAAAGGGAACTTGGACGTTTTCTAGGCCAACCCCTTGCTTAAGCAGGAGATCCTATATCAGTGATGGTGAACCTTTTAGAGCAGTGGTTCTCAACCTTTTTAATGCCGCGACCCCCAACCGGTCGTAAGTTGAGTTTGCAGAATGGGACTTTTGGCAGGCTCAGCAGGGCAGAGACAGCCTGGACAATTCCTATTGGCTTTTGAAAGCCAATAGAATTAGACTCTATTCAAGATAGTCTATTCTATTGGCTTTCAAAAGCCAATAGAATAAAAGGGAATAGCACAGCTAAGGAAAAGGGGGAAAAAATGGCGGATTGCGTTGTTTGGCGACCCCTGTGAAATGGTCGTTCGACCCCAAATAGGGTCCCGACCCACAGGTTGAGAACCATTGTTTTAGAGACTGAGTGCCCAAACTGCAACTCAAAATCCACTTATGCATCGTTGGGTGCCGGGTGGGTGTGGCCCGTTGGGTGGGTGTTGGTACGGTGATAACAGACTGGGTGGGACTAAAAAGTTCAATTAATCAATTCCAACTTTGCAAGATCTTTTTTTTCCTCGAGAAGTTGAAATTGATTGATTGAACTTTTTTTTTTTTTTTTGTACATGGTGGAGGCCTAAAGCGAAAAGGTTTTATAAAACCCAGCTGAAGGCCTAGGACTGGGGCGACGGCGTGCGTGCCCGTGCCATAGGTTCGCCATCACTGTCCTATATCATTTCAGAGAAATGGCTGTCCAGTCACTTTTTAAACGCTTCCAGTGATGGAAGAAGTTGCACTCACAACTTCTGAAGGCAATTCATTCCACCAATAAATCGTTCTCACTGTAAGGAAATTTCTCCTTAGTTCTAAGTTGCGTCTCTCCTTGATTGGTTTCCATCCATTGCTTCCTGTCCTGCCTTCTGGTGTTTTGGAAAATAGATTGACCCCCTCTTCTTTGTGGAGCCCCTCAAATATTGAAACATTGCAATCATGACACTCCTAGTTGTTTTCACTAGACTAGACATATCCAATTCCTGCAACCATTCTTCATATGTTTAGCCTCCAGCCCCCCAATCATCTTTGTTGTTCTTCTCTGTACTCTTTCCAGAGTCTCTACATATTTTTATATTGTGGTGACCAAAACTTGATGCAATATTCCAAGTGTGGTCTTACCAGGGCATTATAAAGCAGTACTAACACTTCATGTGATCTTGATTCTATCCCTCTTTTAATGCAACCTAGGATTGCATTGGCTGCAGCACACTGCGGGCTCATATTTAAGTGATTGTCCATTAGGATCTGCAAGATCCCTCTCGCAGTTACTGGTATTGAGCCAGGTCTCACCTAATCTGTACCTATATATTTGTTTTTTTCTTGGCCAAATGTAAAACCTTACTTTTCTCTTCATTGAATTTCATTTTGTTAGACAGAGCCCAGTGTTCAATTCTGTTGAGGTCCATCGGGATCTTGAACCTATCTTCTGGTTCTCTTTGGTCACACAGCTGGAGTAAGTCCAGTTGTACAAAGCTGGATTTACTCGTTTATCTCTAATTTCCTCTTCCAGAATGTTTTTATGACATGTTCATCTAGCCTACTCTGATGAGATTTCCTTGTGGTCTCCTGTCTAAGTATTAACCAGGTCTTACTCTGATTAAGATTTCAAGATCAGCCAAGTGGAGGTGATGGAGCCATTTAGTTGTGTCCTACTTGTGGCTATCTCAGGACAATTTCTGTCTTTTCTGAAGGGATGCTATAATACTATAGTGAGAAACAACGAACAAAATTTCTTGGATATACCACTAGCAAACATAGACATACTGTTAAGGATCAGTGATTGCTATGTATCACAAGTCTGGTTTCTTGTATAACAAGAACATGTAAAGTTGTAAAGTGTAGAATTGGACTTGAATTGTCTATTCTGATTTGTGGCACCTCCTAGGTGCTGTTAGCTGAGATCCTTCATATGAATTATACCAAAAGTATTGACGAGATAGTCTGAGATCTTCCTTATATAAAGTAGATCTATCAACAGTCCTAGATTGTCTGTCTCAAATACTAAAAGTGTTAGATATTATTTAAAATACATAGCTGGGTCTTGAAAATAAACTTATTTCTGGATAAACTTAGGAATTGTTTGTTGATGATCTTCAGATTCTTACAAAGATTCCTGGAAATCCTTAACTGGAAGTTGTGAAGTGGGCTTAGTTGCTAGGTTGTGTTCATAAAACATGTTTAGTAAGATAGCAACTGCATGCAATGCTATCACAGGGGTACCTTGGTACTCAACTGCTTTCAAATTCATTCAGTTTGCTGCTTAACGCATTTTGATGTGAAAATCGGGTCCCTGTACTTATTGGGGTTTTTTTGGTACTCAACACACAAGCCAAAACTTGTCAGTGTTGTCTGCCGTATGACTCACTACATTATTCCTTATGGGAAAAATGTGTTTGGTACTCATTGTTTTTGGTACTCATCATGCCTCCAAAACCAGTTAACAATGAGTACCACTGTAGTTTGGTACCATTTAACTGTTCTTGTAGCTTTTTAAAATGAAGTTTCAAACTTCTGAATTCTTGTCATTGAGATATATGCACTTATTACCTTCAGTCTCTTTGTTCTACATGCTATACTTTACATTTATTAAGATTGTCATACTGTATTGAATTAAGCTTTAATTAGATGTTTCACATATTAAGCAATATTCACATATGTTCACATATGACAATAACTGGGTTCACCACAAATTCAAACAAACTCACAATTAGCCACAAATAGCATACTTCTGATGTTGGATGCCAGTTATTTCAGTTGAGATTATATAATCAATTGTGCTTTAGTTAACAAATCACAGATAGCACAACTATGACTAGAACAATGTGCAGACCATTTGGCCTCAAGAACAAGATGTTTGCATAATTCAAAATAGTGGCACATTTTCAGGTAGCTTTCTAAGACCATGCATACATACTTTCTGAAGCAATGTTTCAAATGCTAGTCAGCTCATGCAAAGCTCAGTAACTCTTTTACTTCAACTGCTTGTCTTGGAATGAAGAAATCAGAAATCATACACATAATGGCTGCCTGCATTCAGCCTTGTGAATCATAGACTATGCAGGCTTGGATTGGGGTGGTGCTGATAATTGAGGTGAATGCTAAAAATAAAAGTCACTTGGCTATGAAGGGAAAAATATGTTCCAACAGTTCCTTTTTCCTGACTGATTTTTCTGTGGAAAAATACAAACATGATTTCCTTATCTGTGTCTTGTGAAATTGTTTTAAAACTGCTTTTGCTCAACCTTATGTAAACAAAGTAATTTTTGCTGCGTCCACCAGCAGCCTCCTGAAAGATTCCTCAGCGTGCACATGTTTAAAAGTAAATTTTAAAAAAAGATTTCTAAACTAAGGTGTAGTCTGAGTCTTTTGTTCTTGGCTGTTCTCCAAGAAATTTGGTAGATAATACAAGGGTGATATCCTGTGTTAGATGGCAACAGGAAACTGTTTCAGGAAAGTCCACCCACAAAGATCATGGGTTTTAGACTAATCAGTTAAAGAAACCAATGGGGAAACTAAGAAACACCGGTCCTCACATTGTAGTAACTACTCGGGCTATACACCAGCTTTCTCCCACTTGGTGCCCTTGAGATGTCTTGGGAATGCAATCACAAATTTTCAGGCAGTGTGACCATTGTTGCCTGTGATAATTGATAAAAAGGAAGCATCTGATTAGAATAGCTACTCGGGAAAGATAATGTAGTAGCCCTGTTTCTCTCTCTTCTTTTTCCTTTGTTGTATCCCAATAGACAAATATCTCCAGCAGAGGAAATTTATCGTACTCAGTCCCTCCACCTCTGCGCCGCCCTGGCTTCTCATGTTCAGCTTCATTGAAGATAAAGCTGAATTTTACAGGCATTGTCTTTCCCACCTCCCTTGGGTCCTCTGTTCTTTTTCATAAATTTGGCACTACAGTCTTGGGGAAAAGAACCAAGTGGTTAAACAAAAATATGTCAGACTGTTCTAAAAGCACTTTTGCAGCATGCATATATGTGCTCCCATAAGTTGACATGCAAGCCTTTCCCTTCCTCTTGTCCTCTTTAAAGATGAAACTAAGATCATGGGATTCTTAGAAATGTAAGTAGCACTGTTCTCACCCACCACCCACCCACCATCAACAATCCAACATGCATGAATGTAAGATGTTATAGTGCAAATATCTTGGAAAGAAGTGTGTACCTTGAATGTTTGGTTGTGTTCTTGAAAATACTCACCTTGAGATACATAATGTGCCCATTCAGTAGCCCTCAGCCAAAGTATTCCAATTACCTATGAGGTACCTGATTAAAGTAAAGCACACTATATAATCCTTTGTTCCATTCTCCAATTTTTATTGCAACAGAGCAGGCTTAGATGGGCTTTAAATGTCAGTGATAAGCTTGAATCTGGGAAAGGTTGTACCATATTGAAAAAAATGCCTTTTTTCCCCTTCTAAGTGGTGGAGGGGGGGGGGTGGACATTGTAGTTTGGCCAAAGACAAAAACAACAAAACAGCAGGAGACACTGTGTGAAAACCAGTATTGCTTGTTCAATTGGCTGTCTGTTGAGAACTGGCATAGGACCATCCATTGTTATGAAGGCCACTTAAAACACATTATGGATTTAAAGGAAATACTCAGAAATGTAGCAGCAAGATATGTCTGTTTTTTATGTGTTTATTCACAGTTATGTAATAGTAAATGGATAATATTGATTTTCTTCCTCCACATCAGAAAAGATTGAGTACAATTTGAACATTTCCATTCATACAAGCCTGCTGAGCTTCTCTATTGCTTTTATGTTCTGTTTTTCATCCAGGTATTCAAAGCAGCCTATGTGGTTGTCTTCCCAGCCTTTTGATCCTCACAATAACCTTGAGAGGTAGATTAGATTAACAAATGATGACTACTAGTCACCTAATAAATTTATAAACATATTGGTGCTTTCAGTTTTGGTCTTCCTACCAGTAGTTCTGAAGCAGCATCTACAGAGCCCTAATGGAATTGATACATGCTCCAAAATGTTCTGCTATTGATATTTTCCCTCAAGAGATATCTTTTTTGCTTTTCTGTTGCTTTTTTGTTCCTCTTTTGTACTTCTCCGGGATACATTAGAAGGAAGGTG